CCTACTAGCTAGATGTTCCATAGAATCTCAAATTCAACCTGTCTAAAACTGAGTTGTCATCTCTACACCCCCAAAAGCCCCCAAACAAACAAACAAACAAAAAAAAAACCCAACCAACCAAACAGAAGACAACAACTCTTTTCCATTTTTTCCTGTTATGTCAGTGTTCTGGCTACTGAGATTTTCAAGTTTGTTATCACCCTCTACTCCTTACTTAACTCACCTCAGAGATCAATGCACCTACCACACTTCATCTTTTCCTTCACATATTCTCAGGAAATTTCCTTTTTTTCTGCTCACATAAACACCACCTCTATTCATCCAATCCTAATTGAGCCCTCATCACTTCTTGCCCTAATTACTGTAATTATTTTCTTTTAAAAAATCTTTTTAAAATTTAATTACTTCCTAATTACATGTAAAAAATTAACATTTCTTTAAATTTTGAGTTCAAATTTTCTCCCTCCCTTCTGCCCCTTCCCTCTCCTACAGAAGGCATAAAATTTGATATTGATTATACAGGTGAAGTCCTGGTATCTAAAATATGATAGTATGTGTGTGTGTGTGTGTGTGTGTGTGTGTGTGTATGTATGTGTGTGTGTGTGTCTGTATATAAATGTATATCTATCTGTCTATGTATCTATGTATCTATCTATCTATCTGTCATCTATCTATAATTTATGAGTATGTGATTGAGAATGTGAGTGGATGTGAGTGTGTGTTCATACGTTGTCCCCTGACCAGAAACTTTTACTTTTCTTCTGCACCCATAGAACATAGAACAATGCTTGGCATATACTTGATACTTAATAAATTTTTACTTGTAAAATGATAAACAAGGAAGTTAGGTGACACAGTGGACAGAATGCTGGGCCTGGAGGCAGGACCTTCTAAATTCAAATCCAGCCTCAGACACTAGACGCTAGCTGTGTGACCCTAGGCAAGTCGCTTAATCCTGTTTGACTCAGTTTCCTCATCTGTAATATGAGCTGGAGAAGGAAATGGCAAACCACTCCTGCATCTCTTTTAAGGAAACCCTAAATGGGGCCATGAAGAGCTGTACACAACTGATTGACTGAACAAGGGCAAAGTGATTTGCGCAGTGCACGCTCATAGTAGGTGCTATATCAATGTGTATCTCTTTCCTCTCTTTCATAAACGTTTTTTGATTGATTGGCTGATTGAACTAGCAGTTGTACTAATTCCTATGATACCAAGCTACTGAATGAAATGTGAGATGGTGGTACTTTTAAGTCCTAGATTGCTGGAGGTGCTGAGATCTCCTAGAATGTTTGAAGGGACAGAGATGTAGGGACAGAGAAATGGTAAAGTTTTGCACAATGATTTTTTTTTCTTTTGAGATCACTGAGAAAATGTTCCGTTCTCTTCTGACATAGTTCCAGCACCAGGATTCTATTTCTGAACAGAAATCCTGCATGACTTCTTTGATGGGTTTTAATTTCCTCCTTTGCAGAATCAGAAGACTTTGGACTCAGTGATCTCCAATGTCTCTCCTAGTTCTCAATCCCACAATACTTACTGTTGAAGAAACCAAATAAGAATGAACACTGCCTGCCAGGCTATGTTCTGTCACTTCAAAAGCCCGGAACTTTCTGAACCCAGAATGAGCCTAGTTACTACTTCACCAGCTTGCTGACTGTTCTCTGCCTGTGCCAGGACGATGGAGAATAGGTCTGGATGTGAAGATAGTGGCCCATTGAATTGCTAAGATTTACCTAAAACTTTTTTCTGGAGACTCAACGCAGAAAGGGTTCAGTGGAGTAAAATGCCACCAGAGGGCAGTGTGGATCTGTTTCCTGTGATTTTAAGCTCTGGTTTGAAACAAAACACAAAGTTAGTTGAGGGGAAGAGAAAGAAGCCTTAAAAATAAACATTTATAGAAAAGATGTGCTGAAGAGTCATTTTGATAGAGGAAAGAATAACAAAGTTAAACTGCAACTGGAAGGACTTGGGTTAATCATTGTGGGGGAGGGGGGAGAGAAGTTCCTGACTCTTAATAGTTGTTTAGATTCTCAAATGCACTAATTAGGAATATTGATTTAATAAACTAAATAATTCTTTGCTTGTGATTCCTGAGAATTGTGATAGGGCTTGATGAGTACTTGTAGAGGGCCTGCCTCAAGTAAAAGTAGGGCTTAAGGAAGTGTGTGTTCAGTACTTCCCCTTTTCGTACTTTTCTTGTATCCCAGAACAGAGGTGACAAACATGTGGCCTGTGGGCTGTGGCAGCAATGCGCTGAAGTGAGGCCTGAATAGGATTAAATGTAATTGGGAAATATTTGAAAAAAATAGAATATAGGTAATGTTAATGTGTCAATATGAGACTCTGAAGGATCTTCATGTATGGGTTAGTGGCCATTATTTGAGTTGGACCCTACTATCTTAATACACTTTCTCAACTCTAGCAGCTACTGTCCCTAATTTGCTTTATCTCGAGGTGGAAAAGAAAGAGAATTGAAGGGCTATCTACCTCCTGATGGAGACAGAGACATTTGTTGTTGTTGTTGTTGAGGATGGGGGAAGGGTGGTATGGTCCTTGTTTTGCTTCACTATATGTGTTTGTAGCTGCAGATTTTGTTTTTCTTGTTTTCTCAATGGGGGAGTAAAATGAGGGAGGGAGAAAGAATGGCTTTTCATTTAAATAAATAATTTAAAAATTAGGAAAATAGTTGAAATTCTTAACAGGCAACATATAGAATATTATCTTTATTTCACATTGTAGGAAGGATATAAACAAGATGGATTATATCCATAGCAGAGAACACAGAATGAAGAACTGGTGGTCATTTGTGACATGTAGTGCTAAGGAAACCTTCAATTACTTATGCCTCCTGTGCTAGATTCCGGGTACTCTCTGGTTCTTCATGTTCTCAAAACCATAGCTCACAAGTCATTTTTACTGGTCAGCCAAAGATACAGTTAATTCAAAGTCAAGGTATCTGATGAATTACTGTAATAAGAAAGATAACAATAGAATATCTTCCCCTAAACTTGGAACCATACATTTCCACAGATTCATATACTATCAGTGGAAAAGTAAATGCATTTTATAACTATTCACTGAGGGGCACACATGCAGGGAATGTGCATAGACACCGTGTATTCATATGTTTTAGACCCCTTAGAATTGCCAGTACCTTCTAGTGATGTTGTAGTACTGCTCCAGCTGTTGTCATTTTTATCCTGAATGTTATCTCAGCGGGGCATTGTTTCTCTGGGTTTATAATTACAGAGCAATTCTATGATAGCGCCTTGCTTTATCCATAGTACTTAGCTGAGCTGGCTACCTCTTCTGCATCAGACAAAGGGAAGACTGTTTTCTTTCACTTAACCGACACCCATGTATTTAAGCGCTAGTTCTTTCAGTTAGAAATGTAAAACTTTCACATATCCAGTCATCAGACTAAGGAAAACAACAACAAGAACAACAAAGTAAACAAGCAAAAAAACCACAAACAAACAAACAAAAAAAAAACTAAGCTACTTTTTTCTCCAAAAGGAAAAGGGTCTATGAGTTTCCCAAATCTTAGCCTCCAGAGGCCAAATTCTTTTTGGAATGTAGAACAGCCAATGAAACAATCACTTACTCCATTATTAAAATTGTTTCCTGCCTCTCACCATGATCAATATCTCTATACCAAGCCTTTATTTGACTTAAGATTAGAGAATCCTTATGCTATAATCCCTGCCAAATTTCTAATTACAAACCTACCTTTAAATTATTTCAGGGGTTGTCTTTCAACAAAGCACAAGGGGTATATAGTTCTGAGGCCTTGAGTGTTTTTTTTTTCCAGGCCTCCTATATACCTTGGATCTCTCAGACAGATATATCTGGTAGGAGGAACAAGAAAAATAAAGAAAAACTGAGAGCATAGCTAGGCATCACCTTCCCCCTTAGTTATGGATTTCTTCATTATGTGTATGTGAGCAGCAGCAAACTTCCTAGGTTTTGAGCCGACCTGAATGAGGATAGCTAACACTAATAAGTGGATGTGGGAAGACTCCGTGACACTTAGAGCTGCTCAAAACAGGTTTCTTTGCAATGAGTCTCCTTTGCTGGAGGTGCAACTTGTATCCCCAATTGTTGTGGAAGACACAATGAATTTTTGTGTCTCTATCGGTTGGACAAGAGGAACTCAGAGGTCTCTGCTGACTTAGAGGACTGAAATATTTGAGTCTGAGGTGTTAGGGACTGAAGTTGCCATGCATCTCTGTAGCATTTGTATTGTGAAAGGAAGGGGAAATGCTCAGCACAAAGGAAAGCCCCACTAATGATAAAATGCCAGCCACAGAGATATATTTAGGTGCTTTGCAATCACAGCAAACTGAACTGGTTTTCTTTCGTCCTTCCCTCCCCCATACCTATGCAAAATGGGCACATGAGTATTTTTGTCATGTTTCCCATGCATAGCAACTCTGCAACGTACATTTCTTAAACATCAGTATTCTTTGTCAGTTTCTTTCAAGTTGAGGAATATAAAGTATGGCAAGCATGAAACTAATGGAATTGCATTATTAAATTCAATTTCCTACTGAGCTTCCTTTTTTTAGTGTAGCAGGATAGGAACTTTGAAAATTCTATATTTCATTTTCTGCTCTGGCTCCAGTTGGTTTTGGTGTTCAAAATTTTGTTTTGATTTACAAACTTCAAGGCTAATATTTAGAAACTGGTTTCCTAAATTAACACATCAACTACTGAAAACCAAATGGATTTGGACTTTTGGGCAGTAATAAGAAATAGCATTTTATAAGGAACCCTTCAGAGGAGATAAAATATATATGGTCCCACTGACTTATACAGGTGCTGTATTAATCATTCAGGTGTAAATCATTGAGTTGAACAGTTTATGCACTGTTCCTTTGTGGTGAGCATTCTGATGAATGAACATCTAATATGACAGGAAAAGATAACATAATGAATATCTTATTATGCTTGAAGGAACATTAAAAAAAAGTGACTGACATGATATTTTGTTCCAGGTGGGGATAAAAGTCAACCACTTCCTGGCCCTTGATATTCTAGTTAAGAGTATCTGACTGACAGCATGTTGGCACCAGCAGCGTGGGAACCCATCAGCCTCAGCTCCAGGTGAGTGCCATAAAACAGAGCTGGCTCTGCTTAGTTGAAGGCAAAATTGATGTCTCTTACTGATTTGCATCTGCAAACATAAAATTCAGCATTCATGATGTAAGTTTTCTCTTTCATTGAACTTTGTCCTTCGGAAAAAAAAACTGGACAATATTGCATATTTAAAAGGTTTTTTTAAACTATAATCCTTTCAAATAGTGATGATTCCCACCCACCCCACCCTACACCTTCACCTTGTGAGATGGAAGAGAAGAGTCGTTTAATGAGGAAAGAGTACATTTCCTCCTCAATTCCTCACAAAAATGTTTGAGAATGGAATCAAAGATCCAAGATAAGAATAGGAGGGGACCTCACAGGCCATTGAGTTCAACCAACTCATTTTGCAAATGAGAAAGCTGAGGCAAAAAAAGTAGGTAAATAACTTGCCAACAAATTTAAGAGACTTGCTCAGGGTCAGTCAGCTAAGAAATGTCCACTGTGGGATTTGAACTCATATCTTCTCAACTCTAAATCCATTGCCCTGTCCTCCATGCCCTCCTGTCTCTCATCAACATTCTTATGGTATCTGGGGGATGATAATAGTTCTAGTAGTAAGAATCTACAATGCACCATAGTATGCCGTGCCAAGACCCATCTGAGGTCTGGGATGCCCTGAAGGGAAAAAAAAAAGAAAGAAATGTTATGTTTTACAGAGCCACTTGATTCAAATAGGCAGAAATTCAAGAAGTGAACTACCTTTACCCTTGTACTTTGAATATAAAATCCATAGAGGTTTTGCATATAGTTTCAGAACAGAGACCTACATATCCATTTGTTGAGAAGATACTGTTTCTTTTAAAATATCCACCACAGTCAATCCACATAATGAGAATGAATGCATTTTGTTTGTGGGTTGTTTAGAACATCATTTTAGTAACTAAGTGAATTTGGCACATGTGATACTTATTGTCTGGAGCCAGAGACCTGCTTAAAACATAAATTTTTAAAAAACACCCTGCATTTGGAATCAGAAAACCTGAACTGGAACTGTGGATTTTCAACTTACTACTTTGTTGCCTGGAGCAAGTCACTTAAGATCAGTCAGCCTCAATTTCCTCATTTGGAAAATGAGGGAGTTTAGATTGCATATTCCTTAAGATTTAAAACGTAAGACAATTTTTTTTTGATTAGTAAAATCCATGAATAGATCTAGGAGATTTAGTAAGCCAAAGTTAAATAATGAGGTTTTAATTTTCAGAACAAAATTTATTATTAGGCAATTGAATTTTAAAAATTAAAATCTCTGAGATCTCCATATCACTGAAAATGATGCAATAGAAAGAATGACAAATGTAAATTCTGCAGACTTGGATTCAAATCTTGACTCTGAATTATACTTTATGTATGACCTTGGGCTGTTACAGCCTTTTTTTAAATCACAATTTCCTCATCTAAACAAATTTTAGATTGGATTAGATTGCCTTTGAGATTTCTTTGAGTTCCAAATTTATGATTCTGTGATACTGTTGGACAAGTAAACACATCGACTATGCCATTTCTTAGGAAGGAGACACAGAAGGGCTTCTAGCACCTCTCTCACTAAGTGGTCAGGATCAGGATGACAGGAATGGAGTCCGAATAAGGGGTTAAATCAGCTTACTTTATTCTAGTCCAGTCTTCTCAAAGAGAGTTTGCTGATAATGGGAGCACCAACTCCTACAGCATTCCCTAACAACTCTTCTCACAGGGGCTGGCTAGAAGGGGAGGCAACTACCCCTTCGTCTCCATGGGGTCAATAAGAGAAGCACAGCTTGTGCTCTCCTCTAAATCCCCTCAAGCCTCAATGGGGGCCGGTTGGGGCAAACATAGAGATTCCCCCTCCCAAACTTTGATGGGCGCCGATTAAGGCATTCACAGCATGGACATTCACCCCTAAGGGGGTCCCCAGTCACTGACCAGTGCCCACTTGCTTTATAGGGCAACAGACAAAGAAGGCATATTGCCAGCAATAGCCTCACAATTTTACATTACTTCAGCCCTATATCTACTGTGACTGCTCAGTAGAAACTGTTTTGAACCATCATTGTGAGAACTCATATCTAACACCTGGAAAGTAGAGATTATTGTGGCTATGGATCCTCGGAAGAAAAATCTAAGAAAGAATAACAACAAATTCACTTTTACACACACTAGAATTCACCTTACTTACAGACACATTAAATTGTCCAGAAAGTAAATGCAAGAAAAAAAAAATGGCTGTTGGAGATTGGAAGCCCCAAGGTGAGGATTGAGCAGTGGTAGGGAAGACTGGCAACTGTCACAGTAGTGTATTTGAAGTTAGAAAGAACTGGGTTCAAATTGTACCTCTGGCACATATGAGCTATTTAACCAAGGCTAAGTCACTTAAATTCTCTTAACTTCATTTTGTTTTTCATCTCCAAATGAGATAGGGACTGTACAACTTATATCACAGGGTTGTGAGGATCAAATGCTTCCTACCCTGTTGGTGTAGGAAGTACAGGAGTTTGAACTACACCTGTAGCTTTCTACTATACTTTAATTTTTAAAGAAAACACTGATTTTTCCCCCTTGTCAATTACCTTTTTTTTTCTAATAAAGGCAAACATCTTTTAAATGGGGTAGTAGAAAGGAAACTGGATTCCATGATTTGTTAGAAAAATATTAAAAATCACATAAATTTAGAACTATATGATACTTTAAAAGTCATTTAGCTGACCCTTCATTTTGATGAGACAACTGAAGGCTAGAGAAGTTGAGTGTTTTGCCAAAGGTAATTAGTAAGTGGAATTAGAACTAGAACTCAGGTCTCATACTTCACCAAACCCCACGTCAGCCTACTAAAAATTATATAAACTCTTGAGACATTATGCTTTCTGCTGTACCAAGCAAATTCCAGTCAATTGGCATTTTACTCTATATCGATGAGATTGAAATAATGGTCCCAGATATATGATTTTCAACCAATTGTTTTACCTCAAAATGTTGTGTAAGTTCCAGCTGCAAGAGGTGAATTCCACATTTCAACCCATCCATCAGATTGCTCAAGTAGATACTAGATTTAACAATCTGTTAATAACACTATTTCATGTCATTTCCACAAATATTCTTGGGGTGCCATGAAGGAGACAAGGAATAATGAAACTTACAACTTTTTAATTAAGCAAAATTCTGACTCTAACCAAAACTTCAATAATGTTTCTAAGTATCAAAAATTAGTATTAAGACATATCCACCAATCTGTCATCAAAAACCAAATGTTTGGTTGTAGAATCACAGGATTTAGAGCTATAAATGATCCCAGATTTATGTATTTACAATGAGTCATCTAGCAGAATGTCTTGATTTTATTATTGAGAAAACTGAGACACAAAGAGGAAAAATTATTTGTCTAATATCACAGAGCAAAGAAACAGCAGATTTAAGACTTGAACCCAATTCTGCATTAAATTGTTTTCTCTTGAATTTTTAGTGTGCCTTAAATTGTTAGATCTTTGGTGTCTGCAACATCTCCTACCATAAGTATATTTTGTAACAATGTATTTAGTTTACAGAACTTTGACCTTGGGCAAGTTGTCTTTGGATTTTTCATCTACATATTAACAGACAAGAAAATCTTCTTAACTATTTATTCTACAAACATAGTTAGAACTATTAAGACAGAAGTTTATTCACAAAATATGGATGAGATGTGCCTTATTCTCCTCTTCTAGCTCAATGAACTATGCATTCTCCTCCTTTGGTTCAATGATGTATGCATTCTCCTTTTCCCATCTCTGACTCTGCCCCTTCCTCTCCATTCCCTCAGCCCATAAGGACTCAAGTTCATACTCAAGGTGCTGTATATCCCAGGGGTGTATGTACTGCATACAACTCATACTGCCTCATCAGAGCTGATTGTCAAATTTCCTGTGTGAGCACTTATATGTTGGAAATTAACAAATAAGGCAAAATGGCTTGATTTATTGTTTTATTGATTTCCAGATTTAAGAAAGTAATGAAGAAAATGTTAATAATGTGGATTAAATTTTAAAATGTGTGAAGTATACCTTTTTTTTTCCCCGGAGGGCTTAAATGAAACATTTAACAGCAAACTCGTGGGTGCCACAAATATGGATGCTCCCTGAACTGAAATTAACTACAAACCCTCTACACTTTGAGTTGCTATGGTCAATAAATGTGGTCAATATAGTCAATAAAAAATAAAATAAACAATCACCTTGTGGCCACTCTTTCACTGAGGATTCCTTAGGCACTTCTAGGTTGATCCTCAAATGACCAAAGTATGATTCATCACTGGATCAGTAATGAGCTTCCCAACTTGATAGAATCTTCCAGAGCTTGCAATCTAGCTTCTAGAATGCTCTCTGTATGAAACTTCAAAGAAAATACATTTTCCAAAGGGACACAATTAGCTAGCTGCAAAACAAGATCTTCTTCCACACTTTATTTCATACACAATGCTGCCTTTACCATCTTTAAAAATCACAAAGAAACCCTTCAGTCCTTTAGTTCTCAAACAGTTTTAGGAAACCCACTCAGATTACTATTAGAGAATTTTAGAGTAGAAACATGTTATATTTGCCTTTAAAATGAGTCAAATTGAACTGCTTGTTTTGATTATTTCTTTTGCAAGAATTCTGAAGAAAAAAAGTGTTATGAAGAATAACATTTATCTTTTCAAAGTATTTGAGGTAAAAATATACTGAGAAGGGGAAAAAAGGGGAAAAAACTAAGTACTTTTTCTATCTACATCTGGTAAATTGAGTGAAATTTTCTAATTTTCATCTTCCCAAATCCGAAAAGTATAAAAATAATTAGACAACATTGTGTAATTCTGGGGTTGTTGTTGTTTGGGGAATGAATCACACATCATCAGGCAAAAGGAAAAATATCAATAGTTTGGAGATGATTTATCTACTTTTGCAGTGATTAAAATTTATCACAAACACTAAACATCACTTTGTGTATAATTTTCTAGGTTATTCATTTTGGTTAAAATA